GAAATTTGGTAATCATTATAACTGCAGAAATCCCAGACCAACATGTGAACATAAAGTCAGTCAGTTAGCTAAATATGGAATGTAAAGAATGTCCAGGAACGTGAAAACAAAACAGAGATAAACGTGTGTCCTGACCAGGAACAATAAACCTCCCTCATCAGGTTTGTGCTGTGGAACGCTCAAATTCTATCGTTCGGCACCACTTTCCGTAGTTTCTGAACGTCAGTCAATATTGGAGCTATTCACTGTTTCTAGTCGTCAAAACATACACCACAACACTTCCTATGTTCAGCGCACGTGTGATGCCAAGCATGAACAAGTGTTCATTCTTTACGCACGACCTTTTGTGTACTCACTTCCCGTTCATTCCACGGGCAATTCAGACAGCAATGCCTAAGAAGCAGTATATCAAGTGTACACAGGTCAACGTCTTACTTTATAGTTGTGAGACTTCGCCCCTCCGATCCGATGACCTTAGACATCCTGAAATGCTTAATCACGTTGGCATAGAAAGGTAGCTGGCTGCAGCGAGTACGTAACGATGTAGTGCGTAAGCGGGTACTTGGCAATGAATCCGCATTGTTAGAGCAGCAGATTAAACCCACCAGGCTGGAGCCATCATTTCCGAGTGACTGCTGACGAAGGGTCCACAGGGGACAAACCATGATATAGCAACGTGAAACGAAACAGGCTACTGTCAAACTGAGTGATGTGGGGTCTTCGTGCCTTCCTGACTGGGGTCCAGATGATCCCACCAGCGAGTGGTCCAAAAACTCAACAGGACATGGCACGTAATGGATCACAGTGGCGCTCATGCTGTCATTTCCCAGTTAACGATCACCTGTCGTCGTGCCCTTGGCTTATCGAGTGATGTTGACGAAGGCGCTCAGCCAATCTCGCAAATAGCGCCTTACTTCGGCCTGAGCTTCCAGTGAGTATTTTACCGCTACCCAAAGGATGTAGGCAACTTATTCTGATCGTCTTCCATCAGGACATGAGGTACTTACGCTTCTTTCCTTTCCACTCCTTACTGAGGTTTTTCCCCTTCGTGGATGTATGGCAGTTAAGCGTGTTTCTTCGAATGATGATGGTGTTACGCCAACGCGTCCGCATCGTATAGTATCACGACATCGAACACAAAAATTCAGATTACTGAAATGAACGACCTTACAAAACCATAGATTTCAAAACAATTCACTTATTTGTGTGGAAAGCGTTCTCTGATGACGAATGTACTTGTAACACGAGCTCTCATTCTTGTTCCTCTTTCGTGTATTCGGTATCAGTCGCCTGCAGCGCAAGTATTGTTCCGGCAAACGAAACGCATGTGCGCCATTTAGTCCGAAATGGAGTAAGGAGTCCACAATAATCCACAAATAAGCCAGCGTAGCACTGAGGGCCCAAATACCCATATTTTCCAGTTTCCACAGAGTTTTCCTTCATTTTGTGGTTAAAAGCTTATACTTCATCTACATAAAGGACACCAAATCAGGTAATCCATTTGTGGTTACTGCTCGCATAGAACACAGCTTTGTTGGGTAATTAGTTTGCCCTTACGTCCAACTATCGCTGCTCGGCAAACAACTACACAGCCATAAATGAGGAAGCCAATTAACCAGGCCGAAACGTGTTTAAAAAACGGGGCACACCTGTTTAAGTCGTCGTGGCTTATGCACTTTACAAGTAGTGAAAATAATTCACATAAACCAGAGTTGTCGTTTAAAACGTTCAAAAGTGTACAAGGCACGACCGGATTTTTGCAACTTCCAATCCAGACCGTCGGATTTAAACCGAAAGATGGACTCTGAATATGCATCACCTTCAGTCTCACAAGTATATGGGTGTATATCTCTACTGAAACGTCATTGTGCCCTACTCTGTTGGAGGACGGCGACAGATTCCCCAGCCAGTGCTTATCTAGCCCAGATGTGTCTAGTTGGGAGAAAGAAACCGTCCATGACAAATGGCGTGAGTTAACAATAATGCTAATTTTCAGAAACGGTGCTCACATTGGATATAGTAACCACAGGAGCGCCAGCCTGCTTCCAGTCTGGCATCAGTGATTCTTTGCCATCCATGGCGGCATGCGAAACGCTGATTCGTGGTTGTCAAGCGGGACTCCGACAGGTAGAGGTTGCGTCGATCACATCTTCACACTCCGTCAGCTCTTAAAGCAATGCCACATGTACAGACGACCCACAATCTTGGTGTTCCTTTAATTCAAGGATGCGTTCGAATCTGTCGATAGTTCAGTGCTGTTAACTAAGCGTACCCAACAGGGGATGTCCCGTGAAGTTCGTGAACATAATCCACTCCCCATATTCACATCCTCCGGGGCGCATGAGTATATGGCGTGCCCTTCAGAGGCTTCGCTATAAAACGAGGTGTAGGACAAGAATGTCCACTCTCTTCATTGTTCTTCAGTTTCATCCCTGATGAAATGACCACCGGGTATTCTTAAAAATCCCGGTGGTATAATCGTTACTGTTGAGAGATTTGTCGAACGCAGACATCACCCTCTTCTCTGAAGGCGAAGTTCAAGCACAAACACACTGTTGAATATCTTACCACCTTTCAGCATTCGACTTAGACCTACAAAGTCCAAGGTCATTCATCAGAGAGCGCAGCCTCTGAACACAAACCTTACTATTCAAGGGAAATCAGTGGACGTTATGGAGAATTTTACATAATTCAGTAGTTTTATTAGCTCTGATGAAAGTGTGTCTGATAAGGTAAGTGCGCAAATCTCAAAGGCCCTAATCACGTTCGCTAATTTGCGTCAGCTGCATCAAAACGGCAATATACCGGGTCTCAAGGTCACATGTACCGGACAACTATTGTGTGGTTTCGAAAAGACACCCGCAGGCAGATGACGTGAGGCGTCTTCAAGCTTATGACCACCAATGTCTCAAAGACGTTTTTGTGCTGGAAGGCGTCAAGGAATAATTAATGGCGTAATAAGAACGCGAGTATTTGGTTGTGCAGCAGATACTTAAACTGCGGAAAAAGCACCACCAACTACGGTGGCTCGGTCGCGCGCTACACATGCCGAGACGAGTGTTGTTCTCCATACCTACTTCGACGCAGGGTGCAGGATGGACAGCGTATGAGTTGGCCGAAGGGTGTTGTTGGTGCGGTCTATCTTCCTGGACGGGGTTGCCGCGAATCCACCTACCCCCGTGCTTGGCTCTAGACATTGCAAGAAACTGCAACTGATCGATGCCAGTGACATTCGTGCTGTCAGTTCCTAAACAGATAACCTGAACGAGCGCCCGGAAGTCTAGGCAACTCAGAATACTTGAGATAGGCTAGAGCCAGGTCCCCCACTCACCCAATCCCTTCTGATCTTGAAATATAGTTTTGTAATTGCAACACTGATGCTGCTGCCTCTGATGATGATGGTTTTTTGCTTTTCTTAGCGTCATTTACCTTGGGACACCAGCACATATCAAACAAAGCAGATGCCTATTGAATTTATGGCCAAATCTGACTGGTACACAACGCCCTCAACCCATCGTGTTGCACGCTAGGGAAACGCGATTAAGGCCAACGCACTCGCTCATCGACAACGAAGAGCTGGATTCGACACCCGTGATGTTCACGAATCTGACCAATCGTGTTTCAGGGTCATAATGCGGTGATATCGATCGTGCTGGGCATTCTTTCAGGGGTTGTGCCTTCAATACGGGCAAAAACAGCTCAAAGAAGCCGGTTATAAGATTGTACACCAATCACTGCCACCAGCATGTGATGCCAACGAAAATGGTTTGGGGCTTTTCTGAGTGTCCAATGAGAATTAGGAAGCTCAGGCAAAGGCGAAGGCATGTAAAAGGGACATTGTAATCAACAGCGAAAAATTCAGGTGGGAAATTAGGATTCAGTACAAACTCAAACAAAGCTATCATAATGAGCATATCCGAAAACGAGTTCACTTCCTGATCATTTTTGAAAGAAGAATGTGCTATTCGCGGGTCCACACAAACACAGTGACAAGTACGGCTCATGCACGGCGGCTGTTGAAGGTGCCACGGATTATCAAATACTGTCTGAAAGCAGGTCTACAATCGGAATTCATCAGTCGGTTTCAACATCCGTAATTGGTATGGTGAGATGAATCACGAAACATACGTTAGGGAAACTGCTTATGAATGCAACTAAAACAGTTACTCGAGGACAGACCAATACAGACTAACGACAAGTGCCCTGTTACCCTCCGTCGTTTGCCTTAGCCTGTTTAATCCCTAGCATTAATCCAATTGCGTACGATAAAAACTAGCCCAATCATCCGACCATTCAGGACCTGGGGGGCATCGAAACGGATGAACAGCAAATATTTCAAGCAGTTCGCAGCAAAGCACAACAAAACTCAATCGGTTCGTGCGGTGTATGCTAGCCAGATTGGCTTCAACAACTAAAACCCAACCCAAACAGGCCAGATAAGCTGTGCGACACGCGTCTGCTAAAGCTGTCGACATGCATGTAGAGGGTGGCTTCAACTGCCCGCATTGCACCTCTAGTATGTGTGCTGTAGCGGAATTATGAAGCATCTAGTTTCGCTAGCCAAACCCGCTTATAAAAAATCGCATGAGTAAAGTTTCAATTAAAATAACAAAGAAACGATTCGGCTGTAACACCCGTTCGATGCCTAGCTGCCATGCCACTCGAAGTAAGCACGTGGGCTGTGGTTCCCCAAGCATAGACAGGGAAAGTCGAGATGCAGAGATCGGGTTCGAGCCACGGACCTCCTGGTCAGTAAACTTGCGCTCTGGCCATTGGAGCCATCTCGTCCCCTCCATCTGTGATGGACCGGAAGGTTTATTGAAATGGCAGAGAGAACGAGCACACAACACAAACATGCTATCGACGACCAGTGAGGTTCAATCACGATTACCATTTAAATCGTTAAGAAGAGCATAAAATGCACTCTCCTTGATGTCACTGTCTTCAATGCTCCGTTATCATCCCATAAACTACGCCGATTGCCAAACAGAAGAAACAACTGTGGATAACAGTTCCATTTGGAATGATGCAACATAGCAAGGACAGTATGAGTAATAAGATTAGAAAAACAAATGAAATCACGAATCAGCTGGTTGTTTGTTTGTTAGATCGTCCGGTACAACAGGAATAAACCAAGCTGTACTTACGGCAAAAAATGGACGGCATCCGACCGAAAGGTTTTGGAAGTCACAGAACACGAAAATAGCGCAGGTTGGACATTCGTGCAGTGGAAATGCAGTTACGCACATGTCAGACAACAGCAAGAAGTTAATCGAACTACTGGATATAGACCAACTTCCGGGAGAAAGGTTAACACGGGCGGGACAATATCGCTACACAGAACAAATCACCCATAAAAGAAGTAGAATGTCTGTGGATTGTGGCCGAATAGGCGGGCCACAGCGGAGTATACGACGGACACCGAGATTGGCCGGTTGGAAACCAGCTTCCGGATGAGGATTCTCAACTATCATCATCTTCATTCAGACGCTTCGTAACCTTAGAGAAATCAAACGGATGGCCAGTTATCTTTTGATAAAGAGCCAGCACATCTTCGCACGTACTTTCGAAGTGGGTTGAAGCATCATAGCTGTTCGAGATGAATACCTAAAATATATAGGAAACAGATTAGCAGGAAAAATACGAGAAATTGCTGCCAAAAGATAGTCAAGAATACAGGCAGAGAAAAAGCTCTTGTCGAAGACACTTATGAGCGGCGCAGCACCCGAAGAATACAGGGGATACCACGTACAACATCCGGGGTTGGTACTCATATGGGCAAAGGCAAAGAAGTCTGTAGACATGGATACAAACGGACATTATATAACATTCACACAAGGCTACCACCACAGGGTGGTAAGCACCTGTGGTACAGCACATTGAGAAAGGAAACAATACAAAATGGCCAGGAGGTCATTGATGTTCAGTTCGATAAAAACGGATCACAAGAACGCTACTGGCGTCGGTTCTGGGCCAATTTCGAAACTGCTGTTGCACAAGCATGTGTAAAACAGCAAAAGTGTGTTTATTGACCATTAAGAATACCTGCAGTCAGTTGGCACGACAATCGGCACACCACGCAGATACCCGTTACTAAATAATCATCAAGGGTATCATTCAAGTACACATTCGATCACTGCATTCAACCTGTGAACGATAGCTCGAATGTGCGTGTGAACATTGGCATGGTTGAAGCCTATTTGTTGCTTTCGGGCTTGTTTAGTAGCCTGCTGGATTTCTAAACAGACTTAATAATCAGCCTGTTTACCGACAGCAGGCTTGAATAACAACACCATAGTTGCAGTGCCCCATTAGGATGTGAACAAGGCGAATTCTCGTTACTGAGAATGAGCTTCGACCCAGGTTTGAAATGTCGTGTCACACCGTGTGCAGAAAGTAATATGTACAGTGCTCCCGATTTCGAAAGTCAGAAATCTGCGTCTCAAACATGGTCACTGGCGTAGAGTTCTCGGTGTAGCCAATATTCATTTTTCATGACGTCAAAATAGACCACCAATTTACGAACTCAGGATCCTAGTTCTTGTCCATGTGACCAGCAGTCTGACATACATAAGCTGGTATCCACCACCATCACCAAAACACTACGTAAAGACAGAGCATTATGAGGAAAAGGTGCTTGGCTCATCTGGATGTATTCTCCTGTGGAATGAACTGCACACTAAATCGTTGCTGGTTGGAACGCGCCTGGGTATTCTCTCCTAATAGTATTTGAGAACATCATTTACATCACAATATAACGTAATAGCTCTTGTTTTGTCTGTTCCGATGTTACTGTTCATGCGCTGCATATAAAATGAGAGCAGGTCAGTGCCGTGCATTAGCAGTAAAGAGGGGGCTTACCTGAATGGTCGGAAATCCACCGCTGTATGTTATTATTCCCGTCTGGATAGGCCATTTCATGGTCACCCTTTAAAGCCAGTAGACCATTCCTACAGAACAGTTTACTGTAAGGGCAGTAACTGAGCCCTGTATGCTGCAACCTGTAGCCCCACGTGGACGATCCAGTTTTCCTCAATTTGGGATGCTGTCATCGGCGTCGTTTCTGTAGTCGTTTTCTTTGCCTGATTACACTCAATTGCGATCCACTAGTTTAACAAAAAACAAGCTCAATGAATGCTTGTCGGTGGCGAAAATCAATCCCGAAAAACCCCAGGCCCATTCCTCCGTGAGAACTGATAACTAGTTAGGCCAAAAATGTGACCACTGACAAGCAGTCCAACTGTTCTGACGTAACCAATAGTCGCTTAGGACAAGGTCCGCCTCCCATGTGATGTCCTTTGACGAAAATTCGAGGTATTTCACGCCACTACTCATAGATAGAGCTTAAGCTATAAATTCTCCTGTCGAAACTAGACTGCCGAGCACTGTATAAATTGTGGCAGTCTGAGCCAACTCAACATAAATATTTACATCATTTGCATATTGTGCAACGTCGCAAAAATGTCGAGTGGTCACGTAGCGTGATGCACTAGTCGGTAACTGTAAGAGATCTCTGATGTTCAAAGATTCTTCATTAAACTCCCTTCAGTGGCCAACGAGCACTGAATTCTTCGCTGTCACAAACTAGTCTTCTGGGGATAATTGTTACCGATTCCCAGAAAGCATTCCCATTGACCGAGATGTGTAACTGTTTTAGAACCAAAAAAACGCCACGCGCAACACTAGTAATTCAAGATTAGGTCGAAAAGAAATGGATAACAAGTACAATCAAGCATGGTCTCGTCCATGCTTAACGCCAAACCACGTGCGACTGCATGTCAGGCAAATCGCAAACATAAACAAAATAATTGCTTTATACGCACTCTATATGGGTGGTTTTATAAAATTGAGAGTGGTCATATTTGGGAACAATTTACTGACCCACTAAATATGAGATAAGGAGTCGAACTTTTGCCTTTTCCGAGTGACATTTCAACTAGACTGTGCGTCGATAACTGTTATTTCAAATGAGAACTGCCATACATAAAAGGAGTAATCATTCGCATTCGTTGACCATATTACTCAGTGTCATATCCCCCCTCAGGGCGACGGATCCCTCCGGATTCTGGAGGACAACACACAGGATACCAATGCGCTGAACGATGATCTCCCCGGAATTCTTGGTTGGGATTTGTGCCACGCCACTGAACCCTAAAGATCCCTCATTACTTCCCTCATATGCGTTGCTATTCCTCTGACCACTGAGTTCTTACTGGCGTCCGGTCAGTTTCTTCCAGCTTCTTGGTATTGCGATTATCTGGTGGTCCACTTATTTCACTTATTGCCGCTAGTGCGTTCAGAGTGAGTTTTCTTTTCCAATACTGCTACTGATTCACTTCTTTACAGTTTATGGTTATCTAAAAATCTCGGATTCGCGCTACTATAACGTATCAAGTTGCGAGTCCTGCCCTTCATCTCTCGATTTCGGAGCGCTTGACCCGTTACCAACTCATCACTTACCGACAGCATTTAATCTCTTTCAAACAAAAAATCGTTCAGCTGTAATACCCTTCGGCGCCTAGCTGCCATGCCACCCGAAGGAAGCACGAGGGCTGGGATACTGCCAGGTTGCC